TTACTGCTGGAGCCATCTATTGACAAACAGCGGGAACTTAGTTGCGCACATAATAATAAAATAAATGAGCTAATCAGAGCGCGCGATGCGACAGACGAGACATACGGCTCGCCGCGACCGGGAAGAAAATAGACAATTACTCGCGGACTTATAAGTTAGAGAGGTAGGCCACAATTTTCATGACGGTCATTGTGAAAAGAATAACACCTGCGCGAGAGAAAGAGACGGATCGTTATATACTTGTCTACTTTCCGAGCAATCGTTCATTTTTTTCAGCGGCCGCGGCGAGCTGTATGTCCCGCCTACCGCATTGCGCGCTCTGATTCCCATCTATTTTATTTAATAACTTGAAATTTGACGTAGTTGTTCAAAAAATGACCTCTACAATATTTTTTTACTTTTATCTGTTCTACTTATATTTTTCTTCTTGTGCGTCTTATACAAGACACCCTGTAAATATGTAGTTGGAAGTACCCTCTGTCAGATAATATTATGTTTTTACTGAAATTGTTTCTAGATTTAAAACAAAAAATGTTTCTGTAAAACGCATGAAAATAGAGTTCAAAGAAAATATGTGCCAAAAGCGACATATTTATTGGAAGTTATGTAACATGTTGCATATATGATAATGTTTAATAATAAATAGTTCGTTAATGCGTTTAATGGTTGGATATTATTCATTTATTCAAAATATAATGTTACAAAATGGAAATATAATTAGATAAAAACATATTTTATGATATTAACATATTTTTTTTTGTTTTTTATACATATCTTTAGCATTTCCATCTTTTTAATTTTCTCACACATTTTATATATGTTATATTTTTAAGCTAAATAAAATTAAACTTTAAAATAAACAAATGTCACGTCACAATGGAAGGTTAAATTCAAGTTGTATTAGTCATAGAATATCGCATCTATCGCATACTGCAGGTATGTCACTTTAAAATACATTCTCATAAAATTTTTCAAGTTATACAGTAAAAAAGTGATGAAGGT